TCGGAGGAAAAGCTGCATGTTGAAAAGTACGTCGCTTTCTCTCTCATTGTGAGTGCACGCGACGGTTCCTCCGCAACAAACAAAAACAATTAGGAAAGAAAAACTTTCAGCCACGAACTTGACGCGGAAAAAAAGTGGCGACTCGCATTTCCGCTGTCAAAAAAAAATGTGCCGCGGTCCAGCTGTGTCAAATCGGAGGGATTTCAGGGCGACGCTTCCGGCTCTTCCCTTTCAAAATAAGAGACGTATACCTGTTTGCGCTAAAAGACACTAGTAACTAAGGCAGGATTCAGCCACGAGGGGGCCCCCGTGCACAAATGTCACCTGAGTCTTGTTCACACTGGTGGAGGAACACTGTTACATGTAAAAGCCATGAATTCAGCACTTTAATTAGGTAATAGTGCATATATATTTACATCAAAATACACTTAAAGCACTAAAAATAAGAGTGTGTATTTTTCTTCACATCATCACATCACTGAATTATAAATACTAATGCATTAATGTATAAGCATTGTGTTGCAGCTGGTAAATGTAGGGCTAATTTATATATATATGTTTTATTCTTCCAGGAAGCTTAATCCATCATTTATTTTATTTATTTATTTATTGACACAATGGCTTCAGCAATAACAGCAGCAACAACAATACAACTACAACATTAAGATATAACAAGATGTCATAGTGTTAGATCAAGTGTTTGAGTTCCTAATAATACACCATAATTTATTATTTGATTTATTTTGTGCTAATAATCTGAATCTGCAACGTAGTAGCAACTAATTAAACTTGTCAAATATATGTAATTATGTAAAAAGTAAAGTTTGCTTCCAAAATGTAGTAATGTGAAAGTGTAAAGTAGCATAAAATGGAAATACTCAACCACAAATATCTCAAAACTGTATTAAAGTGCAGTCCTTGAGTTAATGTAGGAGCATACATCTGTAATTGTAGCTGATGCAATTAATTTGTGTCAATATTGGCATCCATGGAGCATTAAAAAGTCAAATAGCCTTTCTGCAATGTCATAGGGTGGTTATTATTTTACAGACTATTCATAAATGTTGCATTTTGCTTCTTTACTCTCAGTGTATTTGTTAATGCCCTGCAGCTTTAAGGAGTTCAGCAATTGCAAATTCTTTCCCCATATATTTGTTTGGTTTTATAGATTGGCACATATTTGTTTTGGCAACCTAATGTGTGTTTAATCACATATGTTATCTTGGAAGTATTTCAGTGTTATGTAAACCCAACTATACAGAGGTCTCTGAATACTCTAAGTAAATTGCTAGAAGCCTATTTACCTAAGTTGTATGAATATAGAGGCTGAGAAGTGTGTGCAAAACAAGGATTCACACGTCACATTGAGTTGCCAGTTTATTAGGTACACCAAGCTAAATCTAATGCAGTCTGATGCATTCATTTATCTTTTTAATTTATATGTTTATTGTTTATTTTAGAGCACAGAAAAAACATAGGACAAACAAAGCAGACAGGCATAGCACATCATATATGACAGTGGCCACAGTCAGTGATTAGCACAAAGTAGAAGCAGTAAAAATTACGTATATAGAAAAGGAAAAATAAATACAGAAAGGTGTTTCATCTAAGAAATGTTATTACATTAGCCTTCACCCCAAAAGAATTTCAGTACAGGGTCCCAAATCTTATCAAACACAACACGTCTACCCTTGTTATAGAGTCTCAGTCTCTCCAGATGTAATTTCATTTAACCATAAATCACATGTAGGACCAGAGTTCGCCTTCCACACTCATAAAATCAACTTCTTTGCGATCACATTTCCAAATAAAACAGCTATTTTTGGATATTTGCTAACAGAAGATAAGGAGCTAGTCACTCCAAGGATAACAGTCCTGAGATTATTGATATCTTCATGAAGTATATAACTCCCAGCTTCTGTTTGAACTGCTTTAGAGAGTTGTATTTCATTATACTGGCAGGTAATCAATTGTTTAGTCCACCCTGTTTATATCAGCAACACAAGCTACATCCTCCAGGATGAATGAGAGACTTTTAATTCTCTCTCTGAATGACTGGTCAGTATTTAAACATGTATTTTATGCTGAAGTTACCAGACAGGAAGTAGCTTCTGCTCTGTGAAGTGTAGCTGTCTGCAGCCTTTCAGTGGCCCTCTGGTCAAGAATAGTAAAATATGTGCAGGATGCATGAACGGTCCAGGCTCCATCATGAGTCCAGATACTGTACAACTGGTGTATAATCTGTGGATCCCTGTCGCTGCTGTAACAGCTATTTCTACAGTGTTATATCCTGCATTACTCATATAATGCAGCTTAAACTACTTATAATAACTCCTTAAACCGGTGGGTCATACCAGAACACATCTCAGGAGGTGGGACACTGTTTGCAGCGAGTGCGACTAGCCTATAGTGCAAGGAGACGACCTTAAACGCCTCATTAATCATCTGTGTGTCTGTATGTGTGGTCTTTAAGTTGCTTACCATATTTAAAGAACGGGGAGAATCCAAGCACACAGTCTGTCTCTAAGAAAATGTTTTCTCTCCATCACTGGTGACTCAAAGTCCTGCTGGTTTCTGTCACCACACGGTTTTTTACATGCACTTGTCCCGCCGGGTTTAAGCACTCATTGATTTCCTTTAAGTCAAAGGTTTAATGATACAGTTTAAAATTGTTGCACAGCGCCACCTGGTGATAAGACGCCTAATGGCACCAAGAATGTGTGTGTGTGGTTTCATGAGTTCAGCCCAGGTCCTGAGGAATTCGGTGGGGGTGGGGGGGGGGCTGCACCTTTACCAGCTGTAACATTAAAGGAACAGTTCACCCAAAAAAAAATATATAAACATAAAAATATAACAAAAAACATATATATATACAGTACAGGCCAAAAGTTTGGACACACCTTCTCATTCAATGCGTTTTCTTTATTTTCATGACTATTTACATTGTAGATTCTCACTGAAGGCATCAAAACTATGAATGAGCACGTGGAGTTATGTACTTAACAAAAAAAGGTGAAATAACTGAAAACATGTTTTATATTCTAGTTTCTTCAAAATAGCCACCTTTTGCTCTGATTACTGCTTTGCACACTCTTGGCATTCTCTCGATGAGCTTCAAGAGGTAGTCACCTGAAATGGTTTTCCAACAGTCTTGAAGGAGTTCCCAGAGGTGTTTAGCACTTGTTGGCCCCTTTGCCTTCACTCTGCGGTCCAGCTCACCCCAAACCATCTCGATTGGGTTCAGGTCCGGTGACTGTGGAGGCCAGGTCATCTGCCGCAGCACTCCATCACTCTCCTTCTTGGTCAAATAGCCCTTACACAGCCTGGAGGTGTGTTTGGGGTCATTGTCCTGTTGAAAAATAAATGATCGTCCAACTAAACGCAAACCGGATGGGATGGCATGTCGCTGCAGGATGCTGTGGTAGCCATGCTGGTTCAGTGTGCCTTCAATTTTGAATAAATCCCCAACAGTGTCACCAGCAAAACACCCCCACACCATCACACCTCCTCCTCCATGCTTCACAGTGGGAACCAGGCATGTGGAATCCATCCGTTCACCTTTTCTGCGTCTCACAAAGACACGGCGGTTGGAACCAAAGATCTCAAATTTGGACTCATCAGACCAAAGCACAGATTTCCACTGGTCTAATGTCCATTCCTTGTGTTTCTTGGCCCAAACAAATCTCTTCTGCTTGTTGCCTCTCCTTAGCAGTGGTTTCCTAGCAGCTATTTGACCATGAAGGCCTGATTGGCGCAGTCTCCTCTTAACAGTTGTTCTAGAGATGGGTCTGCTGCTAGAACTCTGTGTGGCATTCATCTGGTCTCTGATCTGAGCTGCTGTTAACTTGCGATTTCTGAGGCTGGTGACTCGGATGAACTTATCCTCAGAAGCAGAGGTGACTCTTGGTCTTCCTTTCCTGGGTCGGTCCTCATGTGTGCCAGTTTCGTTGTAGCGCTTGATGGTTTTTGCGACTCCACTTGGGGACACATTTAAAGTTTTTGCAATTTTCCGGACTGACTGACCTTCATTTCTTAAAGTAATGATGGCCACTCGTTTTTCTTTAGTTAGCTGATTGGTTCTTGCCATAATATGAATTTTAACAGTTGTCCAATAGGGCTGTCGGCTGTGTATTAACCTGACTTCTGCACAACACAACTGATGGTCCCAACCCCATTGATAAAGCAAGAAATTCCACTAATTAACCCTGATAAGGCACACCTGTGAAGTGGAAACCATTTCAGGTGACTACCTCTTGAAGCTCATGGAGAGAATGCCAAGAGTGTGCAAAGCAGTAATCAGAGCAAAGGGTGGCTATTTTGAAGAAACTAGAATATAAAACATGTTTTCAGTTATTTCACCTTTTTTTGTTAAGTACATAACTCCACATGTGTTCATTCATAGTTTTGATGCCTTCAGTGAGAATCTACAATGTAAATAGTCATGAAAATAAAGAAAACGCATTGAATGAGAAGGTGTGTCCAAACTTTTGGCCTGTACTGTATATATATATATATATATTATTTATATATATATATATTTATTTATTTATTTAATTTTTCCCTCTTACCTGTAATGCTATTTATCAGTCTACATCAGCTGTAGAGATGTCTGCCTTCTCTCTAATATAATTGAACTAGATGGCACTCAGCTTGTGGTGCTCAAACGCAAAAAAACAAAAACATCTGACAACCTCAGCAGCAATGTCTCTTTCCAGAAATCATGACCTGGTTACTCAAGATAATCCACAGACCTTTTTGCATGTTGCATATCTCTGGTGAGAGAGTTTTTCTACACTGTAGTATAGCCACTTCAGTAAAAGATCAGAATACTTATTCTACCACTGCTCAGTATACTTTACATTTCTTTTAAAAGCACAGTATAATGAAAGGAGAGAACATCTAATGCCTAAACCTTTAATGACTTAAAAATTCATTGTTGTTATTATACCCAGGCATACAGATCAGCAGATATCCTCATAAATGCAAAATAAACAACATCATTTTTATTACTAACACTGTTTATTGATGGTTTACAGCAAATGATTAACATCTTTTCAGGGTACCATATCAGGACAATGTGTTAGATATTATCGTTTACTTGAAATAATACTCACATTGTGTGCTATAACATTGAAAATGTTTACTACAATCATGGAAGTCAATCAAGGAGAAAAACACCCTGACAATTTGATAATTGTGCATTTAGGTTGCGTTCCTCATTTGGCACTGCTGCATAAAGATTATTATTATTATATGGTTAATTTGACACATTCACAAATTCCTTTAATTATTGTTAAAAAACAGACTTTTGTCATCTGTAATTACAGTAATGCTCTTCTGGAGTTAATAAAATTGGCACAACAGTCATTTTAGTTAATACGTGTCTAAAGCATACCGCCTTGATGCTGCCGTTAAAAAAAAACAAAAAAACAGTGCACACTGTACCACCCCCTCCCACATTGTCATTTCTGTACAAGCCAAGTGTATAACACTAATGATAGTGCTGTGCAATGATGCAGACTGAGAGAACAGAGCCATTGTCAAAAACTGATTGCAACGAGATGAGCCTTCGCCAAAACAGAAAGAAAGAAAGACAGAACAACAGCCGAGCAGTACCCGCCTCATCACTGTTGTCATGTGGTAATGGTTATAAGTGCAATAACAGAGTTATAAAGATAACATAAGGCCCGTATAAAACCAAACATGTAAACGGCTATGTGATTGGATATAGAAAAACAGAAAAGGTAAAGCAATACAGTTTGAGCAATCATTTTAAAAGGCCCATTTTACAGACTGCTGGTGTTAATTTCCAACATGGAAGAGTAAAATATTTATATACAAACCAAGAGGTTAGATGCTCACATAGAGTATAGGTCTCTAACAGTTACACTCATTCAGTAACACTCACGTTAATCAGCTGTAACAAACAAACAGTATGATGAAATTAAGACATTTCGATTGTTTTATTATCAGATAATTACAATGACAAGTGTTAAAGTCCTGTAAATGCAACGATAAACGACCTTCTTTTACTAAACACAAGAGTCAAAAAGAGAGAACTAAGTGACAAGCTCTCCTATGACATAGCATCATCTGGCCGCCGGTTAACAAGGGCTAAAAATACCACTGTGTTGCTCTGAGCGAGACATCCAGCTCCCACCACAGTCCCCAGTGACTGTCAAGAGAATGCTCCGACCTTAGTGACCACAAGGTCTCTGGGGTGAGGTGTGCCCCGCTGGGAGTATGGAGGAGAATCTGGACTAGTTTTGTCCAACACCACCTCTTATCCAGAGTTTACAGGAGATTACAGGAAGCTCGGAATGCTGAATTGTGAATTTCCTCTTTCCTGTAGAGCTTTATCAATCTATATTGTTTTATGCGAGATGCTGAGTGTTGGAGATATTGGCCATAATGGAACTAGATGGCACTCAGCTTGTGGTGCTCAAAGCGCCACAAAAATAAATTTTTTAAGACTCAACAGCAATGTCTCTTTCTGGAAATGTTTCTGTTTTCCAAATATATTTTTGTGGCGCTTTGAGCACCACAAGCTGAGTGCCATCTAGTAGCATTATATTGGAGAGAAGGCAGACACCTGATAACTCCAACACTCACACCAACAATGTAGGAGTGTGTTCCTAAATCCAATTTGAAGCACAACACAATGAGAGTGCTGTCGTTCGAAAAAACAAAGCCTTATATTTCTTCGTGAACTAAAAAACCATGTAGTTAATGAAACAGTCACTCCACATGATGCTCTGCTGCTCTGAGAGTGTGGTGTTCTGAATATCTGAATAGTACATTTTAACAGCACTCCAAATTTACAAATGGTCCATTTTGTGCCACAGTGCACTCCAGTACTCGGAGTGACTATTTCCGAATGCATCATTGATTGATAAATAGCACTACAGGTAAGGGGAAAATGTATTTTGATTTTGGGGTGAACTGTCCCTTTAAATGCTGTTAACTGTCCTGGTGCCCCTGCCATTAGATTATAAAAACTGTACAAGCAGCTGCCCTGCTGTTCATTATCAATCGTACAGCTGCAGGATTCCCTGTTACCTTCATCCATGGATTACGTGTCACCATAGCAACCCGATCCATGTGGATTTGTTTTGTGCAATGTCTGTAGATCGTTATTTACGTGGCCTTCTTTATTTCATTTGCATATAACAAAAACACCCCAACCATCCTGGGCTGGGATCAGAAGAAGTGATCTTAGCAGTTATTTGTTGTTGGGTTATTTTTGGTATTTTTTTTTTTTTAGATGCATAGCACTGTAGTTTGCATGTGTAACTATAGAAACGCTGTTACAGCTAAACGGGCAGAATAAATCTTGAACATTGGCAATATAATAACAGAACAGCACTGTTTTCTGAATTGTATGTGCTACACGGATAATCAAGGCCAAGCTGTTCAGCGTCTTGACGGAGAAAAATGATGCTGCTAATGAGTGATTACCATTTTAAATACTGTATTCTTAACGTTTTTCATTGTCCTTGGCAAATGACACTAAAAACTGTGGAAAAGAGCATATTTGTGTCTTCAGTTTCTTGGATTGTACAATGGATAGTGTTAATGTTTAAGACAGATTGATTCCCCTGTGCCAGACAAGATCTGGAATCAATCTCAGATTTCTGTTTCTTTTTTTGATTGGTGATAAGGCTGCAATTTGCAAATAAGTCTCAGTTTTGTCGCCCTTCTGTTGAGTTCAGAGGGGTGAAACATTTCAGAATGATCAGGAAGGAATGATATCACTGTGGAAAAAGAGATAATCCATCTCTGTTACTTCACTGGCTCTGCAGCCACTGCACTCTCAGTTCCTCCACCTCTTTGCCGTACCAGTCATGGAGTTTGGAGAAGCAGCCAGTGCCCGGGGAGACGGGGCTTTCCAGAGATGCTCCTCTTCTCCTGGGTGGCACTGGTGGAGCCCTCACTCCATCACCCCCGTAACAAATCATAGTGTTATTCCCAGAGTCTGCACAGGCTTCCCAGGCCACACAGGACGACGCTCCTTCAACAAAGCCATTAGCCAAGGCAACTGGTGGTTTACTCCACGCAACTCCATTCTCCTTGGAACCATCAGAGATGAGCTGCACCTCATCCTGGAGGCTCTTCTGGGTAGAGAAGGGGCCTGACATGGGAGGAGCACTTGATGATGATGATGACAAGGAAGATGACGATGATGAAGAAGAGGATGCTCCAGACCTGGGCCGAGCCACCTGGTTTCGCTTAGAGTGCTTAGGCCTGCCCTGCAGGCTTCCCACTCCGGCCCCGACACCGCCGCCTCCCGCAGCCTCCTGGATCTCCTCCAGCTGCCTCTCCAGCTCCTTCACCACCAGCCTCATGTAGTCAAAGCTTGCCCTTGACAAAGCCTTCACCCACGACTCCATGGCTGCTTGGTTCTCAGCAGCCATCTTGTACACCCGTGCTTTGGCACAGTCAAACTTGATGGCGAAGGCGAACTCCTCGGCTGACTCACAGAGCTCCACGGTGCATCCTTCAAGGACGATGACACCGATGGGCTCTCGGCTGTCACGCTCCTCAAAATAGAAGAGCATGTTACCCTTTAGGACAAACCAGCGCCGGTGATACGCTGTGTTACGCTCGCCCTTTTTAAACAGGAAGCCAGTTTTGTCTGGTGGTGAGTCACAGGTGGCGTAGTGCGCCACGCTGCGTTCATTTAGCTTCATCTTCACCCCTCCTCCTTTTCCTCAGCAGCTTCTTTATTTACCTAAAAAACACTGTAAAGACAGAAGTTGTCCGCAAGGTTAAACAGATTAGTCTTTAATTAAGGATGTCACGAGAGACTGCAGTTTCTCCTTCCAGCAGATTTTGCTTTGATTCCACTTGTGCTAATCTTTGTTTGCTCAGAGAAAATCCTGCAGACTCTGCTTTCAGTGCTACATGACTACTTGTATGCTTGTTGTTTACTGACATGGTAATATAACAATAAGGATGAGAAGTTTTATATTCAGTAGGCAAACGGTCTATTTGCTCTTGTCTTGTTAGAAGGAGGTCAGAACACAGGGTCAAGTACAAAACAAAAAGAAATTGATTCAGTGTTTTACTCCTGGGAACATTAGAGGGGCAAATGTTTGCCAAACAGATTTCAACCTACATTGTTTGTTCTCCTCCTACTGCGGCATTGTGCCAGCCCTCATGGCCGAGCAGACAATATCCTTTCACTTTAATTTTACCTGTCTCACTACGAGTGCACCGACATAACCTCAGACAAAGTGCTGCCATAGTAAAACTATAGTGTAGTATGGAAGAAATACTAACCTAGACTAAACTTGGCCCTGCTGTAAATGTATGCTGACTTATACAACAGGGTGGAATTGTTGGCTTATACACATCACACATCACATGTTCAACTGTAAACTAGGGCTCAGACCTTCCCTCTGTGTAAACAACAGCTAATCCAATTTTAATCTGTTAAGAAGTTAAAGTAAAGCCGGACACTGGTGTGACCTCATATATCACCTTGTTTAGACTAATTTGTGTTGTAGCTTTCACATTCGGTGCCAAGCACAATTTGTAAATGCTGCCAGTAAACTACACATTTGAAGTGTGTTTTTACTTACGTGTTTATCTCATATCCAGCAGACATCCACCACTGTCCTCCCATCACATCTGGAGCTAATAACTTAACATGTCTGCATCTTCTCTGTCGTTTTCTCTCTGTCCAAATGAAGACAAAAAAGCTTTACACACTTATAGTTTCACTCCACAGCTGTAAGTAAAGAGTAAGGTCCTGTTTGTATCAGACACGAGAGGCTATGTTTCACACATCAGCTTGTTTTTCCATAGACACACACGCAGGGTTTTTCCACCTCTGCTAGCATAATCGTGTATTGGAGGAATGATTCAGTCTCAAGCGGTGCTGTTGTTGGTTTTTGGGGTTGGTCACAAGCTTTTGACACATCAGCACTTTACGGGAATTCATCTCCACATCATACATTTAACAGTTCCAGTAACACAGGGACACAAATATAAATCAACACTGCCTGAAATACAGAAACTCTCCCTCTGTGCCCACTAGCTTAAACGCATTTAGCCTCGTTACTGAATACAAATGAGCATCTAGCGTCAGCATTTTCAGCTGAGCACTCACAGTTTGTACGCTAGCGGTTATTTAAACTTAAACTTTATGACAGTATTTTGTTAACTATCTATTTATTACCTGCTGATAAAGACGCCTCCTCCTGTCACGCAGATAGTCTCACCGTTGTTTATCTTGTCCCCATTATCTTTCTTCCTTCTTTCTTTCCCTTTTTTCTTCCCGGTCACGTGATTGGCAGGGAGGGCACATATGTGGTACGCGCGCAGCTCGCATGGGCGGAGTCAGCATTGCCGTTCTAGTGAAATGCTCGTCATCTGGATAAGCGGTGACTGAAAGCACGCGCACCCCATCTATGCCCTTGGAGAGGTGGCATTTGGAGAGCTGCTATCAGCTGCTGCTACACCTGCATGGATGGACCATGGATGCTTCGTGTGGCAAAGCATGCATTATATATTTATAATTACAATTTAGTAGAATATTATAGATGTTGTATAAATAATTCTGCCTCAATTTTCTGTCTCATTCTGACATTTTTAACATCTGTTCAGGGGTGTAAATATAGTCAGTGCAGGCAGTGCGATTGCCCCTGGGTGGAGGGGCCCATAGAGAGAGCGGGCCCTTGCAAGTGATTCAAATTGCCACCTTGGAAATAAACCTGTGCTCAAAGATAAATGATAAAAAAAGAATATCATTAATTCAAAAACATTGCCATTTGCTATGTATAGGCAAAAACCCATCAGCGTCAAGGTTTTTGCGTGAAGAGTTTGCATGTTCTTACCGTGTCAGCGTAGGTTTTCTCCAGGTACTCCAGCTTCCTCCCACAGTCCAAAGACATGCAGGTTAACTGGTGACTCTAAATTGTCCGTAGGTGTGAATGTGAGTGTGATGGTTGTCTGTCTCTATGTGTCAGCCCTGTGATAATCGACCTGTCCAGGGTGTACCCCGCCTCTCACCCAATGTCAGCTGGGATAGGCTCCAGCCCCCCCACGACTTCACGATGCTGTTGTTGCTGTTTGAAATATTCAGTAGCTAGTTGTACCCCAGGTTTTAACAGATCCAGAGAAAACTGCATTCTCCTACTCTGTTATCCTGGGACATGGAACACTCTTCAAAAAGATCTAAAATTAGAAACACTTATATCCACTGATGAATGGGCATCATAAAGAATGTGGTGGTAGAGACATGTGCTTGTTTTTTTCTTGAGAGGCCACTATGTTTGAATACTAGTGGATTTTTTTTATTACATGTTGTATTTTTTGCATTTTAAATGTGCTTTAGTGGCTGCTACCTCGGCCAGGTCTCTCTTGTAAAAGAGGTTTTCAATCTCAGTGGGACTTCCTAGTTAAATAAATAAAAATACATAAATAATTAAAACTAAATTATATTTCTTTTCTATATAAGCTAAAAAAAACTATAAATATACTATAAAAGCTATTCAATAAAATGATTCATTTATTACTTTCTTTGATATTTTTGTCAGATGTGCAATGATGATTGCTGGGTAACAGGCCTATTTATGTTGATGTTGTCCAATGTCTCTATTTGTGTCAAGACAACACATGCATGACAGCATGCACTAGGGCCCACTGTGACTTCTTTATGCCACTGCATCTGTTCAACATTTATTCTCTTACCTTTTTTTTGTTTTCTGTATCCACCCTACATTTGACTTGATTTCCAACTGATTTAAACCCAATTACATATCACTTAATACTGATAAGGACTTATTGTAACACAGCACAACTTGCAGCAAAAAAAATATGCAGCAGTGGAAGGAGCACTAAAATGTTTCACTTGAATAAAAGCTGAAGAGCTGTAATGATCAATTGATTAATCAATTAACAGGAAATTAATCGGCAGCTATTTTGATGTATCGGCCATTTACCATATTCAGCAAAAAATGCCAAATATTCTCTGGTTCCAGGCTCTTAAATGTGCTTTATTTGTCCTATGAGATTGCAAATATCGTAAAAAATGTTATTATTTTTGGGAATAATGGGGATGATTTATGATGATGATTTATCAGTTAATCAAATAAATAGTCAATAAATATAACTGTTAGCTGCATCCCTGAAAAGCAGCAATACTTCAATGTAAAAATACTCAGTTACATCCATGATTTTACTCACTGTACAGAAGAAATAAATAAAATGTACTGTTAGACAGCAGAATTGCCCCTTTTATTGTTTATCATCCCCAAGGGGACATTTGTCTCGCTGCTAGGTGAAATACACACAGACATAAGCATAAAACATACATAAAACAAGTGCAGTTGTAAGGTATACCACTCAAGTAGTCTATTATTACTGATGTAAAATGCAAGCTGCATTTACATGTTGTACAGTAGCTATGTTAAGAAAGGCTAATTAAAATTATATATAAGGGGCCTCCTGTTTGGCAGTTTAACCTCTAATGGTGCATTATATGTTTTGAATACAAGGTTTTGATCTTTAAAGTAACTTACACTATAACTATTGAAAATAATTAAAGGAGTACAATGTGCAAGTAAAATTACCTAAAACTGTACTTGAGTACAGTACTTGAATTACATTTCTGCTATTGTATGTATGCTATTGTTTGGAGTCTCTGTGATATTTTATCATGGATACAGTTTTGAATAGACCTATACCCAGCACAGACCCAGGGGCCCAAAGAGTCAGGGGGCCCTAAGTCTGTTGTGATGTGATCCATTTTCATCTGCTTATCCGGGGCCGGGTCACAGGGCAGCAGGCCAAGCAAAGCACCCCAGCCTTTCTAGCTTTCCAGCTCCTCCTGGGGGACCCCAAGGCGTTCCCAGGTCAGATGAGATATGTAATCTCTCCAGTGTGTTCTGGGTCTGCCCCGGGACCTCCTATCAGTGGGACATGCCCAGAACACCTCTAACAGGAGGTGCCCGGGAGCATCCTGATCAGACGCCTGAACCACCTCAACTGACCTCTTTTGACATGAAGGAGCAGTGGCTCTACTCCAAGCTCCCTCCGGATTCTGTTTTCTCCCTAATAAAACTGCAATGTGTCTGTGCCCAGTGGTCCACTGGCTCACAATTTGTCAATGTAGTTTATTTAGATTATTACTACTACATCGCTAATACATTCATTATATTACAAAGAAAAGCTTCACTGAGTAGCCTAAGTTAGGACACACACTGACCATAATGCCACCTATGGTGAAATGGTGAAAAACATCAAGCTTTCTTTCTTCAAAAAGGATGTTTCCCATTCACAATTCTACAAACACCTGCCCAGTACACAGTCTACCTCTGCTATTTTACTCTCTTTGGTGCTTTGCTCAAGGGGTTTTAACATGTACTTTCCTAGGCACATTTTAATGATGTTCCAGTCTCATACTGCCTCTCTGTTCTCTTGAGCATCACCGCTGCCCTGCTGCTGTGACCCTGCCCTTTATTCTTAAGACATCAAGCTGCTGGCTCTGGCCCGTGTTATACTGCGTACGACCATGACAAGCCACTATGAATTCATTAGAATATCATCTGGAGACGGCCGATGGCCTTTAGCACTGCCAGCTATCTCATCACACTAATCTTCAATTAACTGATGCAGCTGCTGGTGCCATTTAATGTATTTCTCTCTCTGAAAGGTTTGCTCGCACTGCTTTTTTGGTAACTTTGATTAAGGGTGATGCCCTTGCAGCCGGTTTAATTTCCTCTATTTGACTCCTAGTTCACAGTCTCGACACTCTAAACTATTCATTTACAAGAGCTCAGCCTATAATAAAGCATACAGACATAAAATCAACCCTCTCTCATTGTTCAGTCTATAAAATACACACACACACACCGACACACCGGCATTAAGTGTAAAGTGTTTACTTCTCACAAGTTATTTTCCAACAGTTTGTGGACACACACAACAAAACATCACTGACAGCTTTTGGAGACGTTCCAATCATCTTTATAACGGATTCTTGATTGATCCAAAGTTTGGTCATGAATTCAGTCTCTGTGTCCAGTGAGAACAAAGAGGTGGAGTCTACAAGTGTGGCGCCTCCACTCTGAATATGGAGAGAGGCTGTGTTGTTGCTCTCCGGCGTAGGATTCCCACAATTTTATTGATCCAAAATGACCTATGAAAATGTGTTCACTTATGCTTCCCTTTATTCTGTTTCTTCTTTTTTAGTTCCTCCTTGTAAAGCATTTTATAATCTCACTTTTGACAAGTGCTATACGGATGATCTTCATGATCATCATTATTTAATAACCAATTAATTATTAGCCTGTGATAAACAGGGAATTGTCAGGTTTATGGAGGCTGCAGAAATAACCTGATGGACGTCATGTGAGGAAATGAGAGTGAATACTTCAAAACTCTGTATCATGGAGAGCAGAGCACCCTGCTTGTTGGACCCACCAACATACAGCCTCTCCACAGAAATGCATAGAAAAACACAGTGATGGCAGGACAAGGTGAAGAGCCAGTCATGCATTCATTCAGCCCCATGCCTCCCATCTAATAAAGCACAACTAGGTATTTGGTTTACGCCATTAATCTCCTCCACCTTACATTTTCTTTCTCCCAACAGAGCCCATCCTGTAAAGTCTCTCGAAGCGATATTACTGAAGCACTTGTTTTTCATCCGTACAAACACTGTCCTGTTGCTATATATAAATAACTCATCCTGCTATGGCCTGCTGAAAAACGCGTACCTTGAGGGAATGTCAGCTTTCGTCAAAATACCTCTCAGTCACCCAACACAATATCAAAAATATCATCTCTTTAAATGTTAAAGTCTCTGTAGAAAAATGCCTGAAATATATAGATATCAAACATGTACATGTATATTTGTACACAAAGAAAATTTGATGCAAATTATTACTTCTTCAAGGATCCTTTAAAGCTGTAACTATGGCACTATACTGAACCTCTGTGAGAAAAAAAAGTAGCTTGCGTGGCACCAGTCGAGCACACAGATGTACAATGAACATAATGTCTGGACACAGATCGGTAACTACATTTTCCATTCATGTTAAACCTTTCCAAAAATACACTATGATTGAGCATATGGCACATACTGACATTATATTGTTTTCTCCCTTATCTGCAGCCCAGCAGTGTATTGCTCACAGGCAGATCTGTCAGGCTCTCCAGACACAAACAATTATAATTCTTAAAAGGCAAATTCCATTGGTTGAGTGGAGCTATTGATTTCCATCTGAGTATGCACAGAGCAAAAGTCTGTGTAGACATCAATCAAACACTGGCTGACATCATTTCACCCCATGTTGTACCTCTTCAT